AGACGGTCGTTGAATGGGGTAGGCCAAAAGGTCATCAGTTTGCCTTCTCCATGCTGTTTTCACAATGAAAATCGAGCGAACGCTGTAAATACGGCTAGAATTTAAATTTTTGTTCGATTTTACATGCAATCTGCTAATATATTTGTTTATTTTCTGTGCATATGAATTTCGTTCGTATTTACTTCTTTCTTTCGTGATCGGAAGACGATTATTAAAAATACAGCTGTAAATTGAAACCACTGTAGTTGCTTATCGTGAGCAATAAGTGGCAACAATGTCGGGCGACAATGAATTCAAGCGATTGACACATTGCCATGAATACACTTGATAACTGCTTGCAGACTTCCAATGGACATTGTTTATGTTTGGACTGTTGAAACAATAGCAAAATAAAGGGTTGGGCAACTACTCTTTTGTTTAGGCTTGGGAAGAACAATGCAAGCTTTTTACAAATAATTTCAGCTGGATGTACGTTGGTGGGCGGGTGTTGAGAGTTACTGGGCGGCCGTAAAACTTGATGGGCGGGCCGCCCGCCTAAAACCCCTTGTGGAGAACACTGTCATTAGAAAATGAACAATATGAATAGTATCAAAGCAATCGGACTTACAGTTTTTAACAAGAAGTCGAAAATATCACTTTTTACCAAAAATTACAAAAATATTCACCAAAATAAATTAATTAGAGAATTGAAGATATCATCACAAAATGAACAAATCTGAGAGAGTTCCACATGTAGTATCTATATATGTAATATCAAAGCAATTGAACTATTGATTTTTAACAAGAAGTCGAAAATATCACTTTTTACCAAAAATTACAAAAATATTCACCAAAATTAGAGAATTGAAGATATCATCACAAAATGAACAAACCTAAGAGAGGTCTACCCAAGGTACATATACACCAAGTATCAAAGCATTCAGGCTTGTAGTTTTCAAGAAGAAGTCGAAAAAGTAAAACATTGACACGGACGACGACGACGGACAATCACTCATATGATAAGCTCCGCTCGACAAAGTCGACAGCGGAGCTAAAAAGAGCACTGTTACTTTGATATTTTTCACTATCATATATTGCAAAAAAGGCACGTTATGTTTTTCAGGTATTAACTTCCCACGAGGCGATTAAAAACAAATTATTGTAATGTCTAATGATATTTAAGTGCAAATGTTCATCCTATTTTATTTCACCACTTTGAACAAGATAATCAGTTTTCTAAATTTATCCCACTGGTAGTTTAGGTTTAATAAATTAGTACTAGTGCTGAGATCGAAAGCTATACAAGATACATTTCTAATCCAGATAAATTCAAGTCTTTTAAATTTTAATTTGTATATACAGAGAAGAGAATGAGAAGTTGCCGGGGTCCGAGAACCGTAGTTGAACAAATCGTTACAATACAGACACTGTGCCTTTCCCGGGACCTCGCATTTGGCGATGAAGTCACTCAATTTTTCAGTTACCACTTCATCTTTCTTCCCGATTCGCACGGTCAAAGTCAGTTCCTTGTCAAGCCATGCCCAACAAAATTTGTTACTAATGTCTTTATCGATCTCTCGCACAGCTGACTGGTTGTCTTTTGTAACCAATTTAACCATTATCGCTGCATGAAACTTGTAAACAACGATCCAATACAGCTAACAATTCTAACAATAAAATGGCGCAGTTGGTGAAAAAAAAAAAAGCTCTTCACTGATTGGCCCGTCACAACAAACCCAGCCAATCATGTTAATCGTTAAATATTATTTTGAACACTTCGAAACCACTTCGGAATTTGCAATTTGCACTGATGAAAAGAGTCGCGGACATTCCGCATTGTCTCCCTTCGACCATACACAGGCTTCTTGCAGCAGACAACAATGACCCGACAGCGTGTTTACTTCCGGTGAATGAACATGATTTGTATTCTTACCCCCCCAATTCTCTCTTCGGATTTAGACATTTCAGAAAATCGATCCCTGAGGCTTAGGAATCCGCGGAAAATTCTCATCCCTGTATATACACAGAATGTCAGACGCAACTTATAACGCCTTTACTTATTTTTCTCGTGTATTTTAGAAAGGCAGATGAATGTGCATCTGTAGGGCAAAAAACTACACGTGATGATGTGATGTGATGATTTTGTATGATTGGGAGATTGATTGCAAGCTAACAATTTTGCCCGTTAAATCATGAACTCTTTTAAACTTTGCCACCACCAGTAAAAACTGACTCAAATTTTGTTGAGTTGGCCCCAAAATTAGGGTTTATTTCTAGAAATATTGAAGAATATAAAGAAAAAAGTCCATAATTTAGGTGAGAAAGTCCGGTGGTGAAAAAGTTAAAATCATAAAAATATCAAAATTCGTAGTAGAGAAAATTAATCAATAGATGAAAAACCATGACTGTACTGCATTACCTTCACATTTTTGGCAAATAACATTCTTCTGTAAAGCTAGTTTCCTAACAGCAGCATTGTACATGTCCTCCAATGAGACACTGAGTTGATGTACAACATCTTTGCCTCTCTTCTCCTGCCGACGACGTGGTCCACCACCAAAGAACATATCGAAGATATCCATTGGAGACGAAAACCCACCACCTGAGTGGCCTTCCTTGATGGCCTGTTCACCACCTTGGTCATAAATTTCGCGTTTCTTGGCATCAGACAGGACTTCATAAGCCATGGAAATCTGTTTGAACTGATAAAAAATACATGATTAGACATAAGAAGACTCAATAACTGTTGATTTGAAAAAATGTTTCATATTTCAAAACAAGAACAGAGAATCTTGCTGGCTGCTGATATTATGATCAACTTGTTGCATTGCATGACGAACACTAACGACAAAGATCACATTGTATGCACCCATGCTTTGTTGATAGTTTTCCTATCAAACATGCATGTACGTGGCATTGTTTTTAATTACTAAAGGGGTTCTCAATATAATCAAATCTTTCGAGACTGTTCCAAAAGCGTTGTCCATCAGAAACAAAGAAGGGCGTTCAAAATGAATAGAGGGGCACCTCTAAATGAAGAGGGGTGAAAATGAATCCAAGAGGGGTGGGTCCGCCCCTCTAAAACATCTGGAGAATGCATTTTTTTGGTTTGTGTACATTTTTAATAGACCCAATACAGATGTTCTTGCTGTTAATGTGTTGCGTAGGCATGTTTCTGTGGCAAGAGTTGGTAAGGGACTCACTCCACACCCACAACTTTAATCCTAACCCCGCTTCTCCAGCTCGCTCTTAATTGTATATCCCTCTTTTTGGGACATGTGCGTTAACTGGAGGGAAGTATACAATCACATTAGGGGGCTGAAGTGTCAGAATAAGGGTTAAGGTTACGGAGAGAGGAGGCCTTAAGGAATTCTTTCTGTTTCCGCTTTCAAATTCATTCATTGAAAAAGATATTTTCTTGAATTCTGTACACTCGAAATGCAAATTAGACATGTTATGCAAATTGATGAGATGGTTGATATCAAGTCTGGGGAGAAAACTACTGTAAACCGTTTAAATTTTGCGTGCGAAAAATGTTCGCGAGCTTCGCGAGTTACCAAAACTCGCGAAAATTAGTCTTCACGAATAATTACCAAGCAAAGGGGCTAATGGTATTACATGGCTTCACATCACGCACGACGGGGACAAACAAAATGGCTGTCTTTGTGAAAAACAATAACAATCACGCCACAGATAAAGTTACTAGTAATTTTATTTTAATAAATAAATACTACTAATAAATATTAATAACAAAGAAATAAAATTACAGATATGATCAAATACTAGTAGTGTCTTGTTGTGTTATTGCACATAGCAGTAAACTACGAATGTCAGTTCATAATAATAATAAATTTACAATGTTGCTGTTCAAAATGTACCAGTATGTCATTTTCACAAAAATGTTCAAACCTGAATATTGTCAATGGTTTCCTTGATGAACGATTGAACAAATCCATCCACGATGAGTTCATGATTGTCTCGCAAACTGTCATAGACGCGTAGTAGCCAATGTGCATGTGGGGGCTTCATAATAGACCGCCGCAAATCAACATTAACTTGCCCGATATCTTCTCCACGTTCTAAGGCTGCCACTACTTTGCTAGCATACCATGCATTAAATTCCACCTTCAAGCATTCTTTAAATTTGCCGTTGAATGAGAGGTCCAGAGGTTGCAGCTCCGACGTACAACAAGGAGGAACAAATACTGGTATCACACCACCATCGCGGAGTTTCTGCAATAAACTCTCGCTTTGGTGTGCTCGAAAAACATCGAATATCACTAAGATTTT